AAGAAAACGTCTACTGTCTTCACGTTTTCATGAGAAATCCTCTATTATCTCTATGTTTCCATCGGAAAAACTCTACTTCTACATGTTTTAAGCAAAAAACTTCCATTTTCTTTGCATTCCAATGGCTTCAAAGAACAATATATAATACATACTACATAATATATAAACTATACTATATAATGAGTCATAAATAATAAATTAATTAATAATAAATAATATTATATATTTTATATACTGTATATTATGTATACAGTATATATTTTATATTATATACTTTATATTATGCATTATATGCAGTATATAATATGCAATATACAATACATGATATGCAATATATGACATATAATATACAATATGCGATATATAAATATATACATATTTATTTATTTATTTATGTTTATTTATTTTTTCATATTTGTATTTACTTATTTATATACATACACATATCATATAATGTACGACAATATGAAAATATAAATAAATAAATATAATATATATATATATATATATATATATATATAATATAATATATATAAGATGTATATATATATACATATATATATAGTTATATTATTAGCAATTTATAATAATATTTAATATATATATATATAGATAATATATAATACATAGTACATACGACATAATAAATATGTAACATAATAAATACATAATACATAACACATAATACATAATACAGAATACATAATATAAAACATATAATATATAATTCATAATACATAGTACATAAAACATAAAACATAATATAGAATTCATAATACATAATTAATACATAATACATAATACATAATATACGATACATACATAATACAGAATATAATACATATACATATACAATATATAATATATAATATATAATATATAATGTATAATGTATAGTATATAATAGGTAAGGTGTAATGTAATGTGTATTATGTAATATGTATATATATATATATATGCACATACATACATACATACATATACACACACGTTGACCTTCACTATCGTGTGTATATAATATATATTTATATTTATTGATTTTTACTTATTTGTCTAATTTAATGATTTATTTATACGCATAGGACCCGCAGGACCAGGCGGACAGACAAGCAGACCAGAGGACCAGAGGACCAGGGGACCACAAGACCAGGGGACCACGGGACCAGAGGACCACGGGACCAGAGGACCACGGGACCAGAGGACCACGGGACCAGAGGACCACGGGACCAGAGGACCACGGGACCAGAGGACCACGGGACCAGAGGACCACGGGACCAGAGGACCACGCAGGTGGGCCGGATGGCTTATTTTTTTTTTGATGCCTATTATTTTTTTTTATTGATCCCTATTATTTTTCTTTTTGATGCTTATTATTTTTTTTTTGATGCCTATGCCGGTTTAAGGGGGTTTAAGGGGGTTTAAGGGGGTTAAGGGGTTTAGGGGTTTAGGGGTTTAGGGGTTTAGGGGTTTAGGGGTTTAGGGGTTTAGGGGTTTAGGGTCCAGCTAGGGTGCTAGGCTGCTGGGGTTGCCAGGGTTTGGGGTCATGGAGTTTCTCTTTCGGTTCTTTCATCTTGACTCAGGGCTTGAGGGGCTCGGGGATTTGGGGCATGCGCTTGGTTTAGTGCATTTTGGAGCTGGGATGCTGCGGCCGTTGAGAGCATGTTTGGGGCGTGCTGCAGGTGGGGCTCGGGTAGGGCTACGGTTCTTCTTTTGGTGGGATGGCATGCAGGGGGCCTTGGGGGGGGGGGGGTTGCTCCCCTTACTCCGAACTCAGACAGTCCAACAACTTCGGTCAGCGAACTTCTCCAAGCTTCTGCCCTAGACATGAAGATGTCGAAAACTCGAGTGTTTGTAGGCTGTACAGTTGGGGGTTTGGGGTTCCGTTGGCAAGTATCCCCGCGATGTTCTTCTGAACCCTACGTCCCAAAAAGCCCTCTTCGCAAAGTGCGTCCCGAGCCTGAGGGAGGGGTTAGGACTTTTTGGGGTTCATCCATTAAACCCGGGAGGGCTTAGGACTTTTTGGGGTTCATCCATTAAACCCGAAACCCTCAACCCTACACCCTGAACCCCTGAACCCTAAACCCCGAACCCCTAAACCCTAAGCCCTAAACCCTAGAAACCCCAAACCCGAAACCTCCCTAAACCCTATTTTTTTCGTGTCCTGCTGGCTCTGACCGGGCCGCAGGGCCATCGGGCGGGGCGTCTTCACCACGAGGCCATCCAGGGACCGCTGCCCGCGCCTGCGCCAACGACGGCTCTTGGGCTGATGTTTAGGGTTTAGGGTTTAGGGTTTAGGGTTTAGGGTTTAGGGTTTAGGGTTTAGGGTTTAGGGTTTAGGGTTTAGGGTTTAGGGTTTAGGGGGGGGGGAAGGGTTATAAGGGGTTGTGAGGGTTTCAATTTTAAGGTTTTTTTTAAAGGGTTCTTAATTCTTAAGGGTTGTTAAGGGCTTTAAGGGTTTTAAGGTGTTAAGGGTTGGCAGGTTTTATGATTTAGGGGATGTTCAATCTGGGCTCGGGGTGTGGGGCTTGAAGGTGCTAAGGCTTGATAGGTTTTGATAGGGGTGTTAGGGTTTAGGGTTTAGGTTGTAGGGTTTGGGGGGGGGGGGGGGGGTGTTAGGGGGGGGTTTAGGACGGGTTTGGGGCTTCCAACTTGCTTGGGGTGTTAAGATTTGGGTTCTGAGGTTTCGTGTTGCAGGTGTGAGGATGCGACAGGCAGAACATGTGGGCAACATCGCCTTGAGCTCTGAAGATCCCGCCCTAAACCCACCAACGTAACCCCCGGGCTGAGCCTTATCAAACCCTGAACCCTAAACTCCCATAAGGTGCTTTAGTTTGTTCATGGAGGTTCAGGTCTAGTTGTTTCTGTTTGGGGGTTTGGGCTCCGGGGGTTTTGGGGGGTGTTCGCGGTAGCCTTCCCTGCTTCAGGAAGTCGAGGAAAGCCCGAAGGTATCCTGGCATGGGCACTTGGGCTTCCGCCGGTTCTGGTCTTTGGGGCCCATCGGGCTGGAGGATATGTAGAAATTTTGTTAACGTAGATTTTAGGGTTTAGGGTTTAGGGTTTAGGGTTTAGGGTTTAAGGATTGTTGAGCTTTTTTGTTCAAGGGCACTTGAGCCCATGCCACTGCTACTTCTCCAACGTGGACATATCCCTTCCACGACACCCCGTATTTGGGGTATACACTGTGCATCTCCTCTTACAACCCTACAATACTCTGACGCTCAGAATGCTCTCCTTGCCGACTCCTCAGCAGAATAAGCTGTCCTGGCGGGGTCTTCTGCTTCTTGGCCCAGGCGACGAAAGAAGTCTCCTGACCTGCACGAGAGCATTTGGGCTTCAGTTTCAGCTCTTGTCTTCAGGAGAACCCTAAACCCTAAACCCTAAACCCTAAACCCTAAACCCTAAACCCTAAACCGTATGCCAACTGCATGGCGAAGAGCGCAGAGCTGCTGCGCGCGAGCGAGTCGGCTCTTCATTCACGCTCTGCGAATGTAGAAGTTGCGTCCGGCAAATCAGATAGTACATCACCCTAAATGCAAAACCCTAAGCCTGAACCCTAAAATCTAAACCCTAAACCCCAAACCCTAAAACCCTAAAACCCTAAACCCTAAACCCTGCACCCTAAACCCTAAACCCAGTTGCTTACAGAGCCACCCTTGGCTTGATCGACGCAGAACCCCATGATCACCGCCTGCCACATCGGAGAACCATCTGCCCTTGAACTTGCCGGCGGTAAACACGGCGTCCATTGGGGGTGCCGCAAGGGGTTGGGGGGGGGGGGGGGGGTGTTAGGGTTTAGGGTTTAGGGTTTAGGGTTTGGGGTTCAGGGTTTAGGGTTTTAGGGGTTTAGGGGTTTAGGGGTTTAGGGTTTAGGGTTTAGAGTTTAGGGTTAGGGTTTGGGGGCTTCACTGCAGGAGCGGAGCAGATTCGAAAGCCTGATTGGAGCTGTGGCGACCCGGATCATCATCTTGACTACTCTGACTCTGATGTTAGGGTTTAGGGTTCAGGGCTCAGGGTTTAGGGTTCCGGGTTTAAGGGGTTTATGTCATTGCACATGCAGAGGTAGTAGCATTCAGGTATGCATCATCGTTTGGAAGGATCCCTCTGCTTCCGAGCCAAAAGGATTGAGGGTGTTGGCCATGCAGGGGTGGAAGGGATTCGAGGTTCAAACCCAAAACCACCCTAAACCCTAAACCCTAAGTCCTGAACCCTAAATCCTGAACCCTACTTAAACCTTTTGGGGTGGGGGGGTTGTGGGGGGGGGGGGGGCGGGGGCTCCTGGGCCTACGGGGGTTTGGGGCTTTTGGGGCTTGCGGGTTTAGGGTATCATATGGCTTCGTGGGAGAAGGGGGGGGGTGGCCTTTGGTTGCTTGGCTTTGCCGGGCGAAGGTCTTGGGGATCCGCAGTCCCTAAACCCTAAACCCGAAACCCTAAACCCTAAACCCTAAACCCCTACAATGGGCATCTTGGAGCACTCTCCGGGGCTTGCACGGGAAGGGAGAGGCGAGAGCGTTTCAGGATTTAGGCTTTCGGGTTTCAGGTTCAGGGTTTGAGGTTTAGGGGTCCAAGTAGGGGCCCTTAATTTGGGCCACCGTGCTTTAGATATACACTATACATGATGAGGGACCCATACTTCAGATCCCTTTAAACAAGGGTCAGGGCACGTGGTTCCGACCTTAGATTCAGGGTCTTTAAGTTTCTACGTTTTAGGGTTTTATGACTGGGGCTGGGGGTTGGGCGTTGGGATTTTAATGTTTTGTCGTCCAACTGCCTTGCTCCAGCCCCCCCCCCCAATATTTTGAACCACCCGCCTTTGATAAGTACGTACCTTGCCATTGTTCTTGAGCAACCTCCCGTGAAATGAGCGACTGCCTAAACCCTGAACCCTAAACCCTAAATTCTAAACCCTAAGCCCGAAACTCTAAAGCCGAAACTCTAAAGCCTACATTTGGGTGTTAGGGCCAATGTCAAACTCTGCCGGCGCAATGCCCGTGTTTTGGACCTCAGCCCACGCTCGCAGCCTCGGGCGCTCCTGCCTCGGCTACGAGGTTTGCGAGGAAACCTAAACCCTAAACCCTAAAGCCTGAACCCCTAAAGCCTGGCATAGCGGGTATTACTTGGGGATCCTACTTTGCGGTATCTATACCACAGAAGCCACCTTGATTTTTCAGTATTCCCTTGGCTTCTAAAATGTAGACAACAACCCGAAGCCCTGAACCATACACCCGCGATGGGTTTCGGGTCTTAGGGTGTTCCGGTCTGAAGTGCATCGCAAAGTTCACTTGAAAAGTAAGGCCTGGGCTGCTTGGCACGTCGCAGCTCCAAGATCCTTCCCCCCCCAAAAGGGGCACCATGGGGTGAGGGCTTAGGCTTTAGGCTTTGGGGTTTAGGAAGGTCAGAAACTTCAAGCCTCGGGCACAACATTCAAATTTAGTTTTGATTATGACAAAAGCAAGCGTCATGGAGCTAGCAGAGTACTGTCTCCGTACTTTCGAACCAGGCAGATGACCGTACCATTCTCCACCGCGACCTGCGGACCCAAGATTGATTTTCAGCCAACCAAAAACCCTAAACCCTAAGCCCTAAACCACAAACCATAAACCCGGCAGACAAGCTGCGTGATGCTTTTTGAATGCCAGTTGTGTGCCCTGCCCACCCCTCCCCGCAACATATGCGCAAACCGAGGAGATTCAACTGCTGTAGGCGGCGCTCCCCACCCCAAACCCTAGATATGTATACATTTCTTCAATGTAATTACTTACTAACCCCTAAACCCTAAACCCTAAACCCTAAACCCTAAACCCTAAACCCTAAACCCCACAGCCTACGCCAAATGGCGCCTGGCCGGCTTCCAAAGCCTCGCCGCTGTTCGGAGCTTCGAACTGTGCCTGCAGCTGGGCACTTGCAGGGCTTCTACAGGGTTTAGGGTTTAGGGTTTAGGGTAACCATAGATGGGCATGGCCCTCATCATGCCCCTTATAGTGCACCCCCCCCCCCCCCCCCCCTGCCAAAAAAACAGTGCTTAATGCTTAGGCTTTGGTGGTTGTGCTGGGGCCCCTAGAGACCCAAAACCCAAAAACCTACGAGTATAAACCCCAGACCCTGCATACTCTAAACCCCATAAACCCTAAACAATAAACCTACACACCCTAAAACCATATAACCCATATAGAACCCTGTGGCCACTTTCAACCCTAAACCCTACAGACCCTAAAGCCTCGAAAGGAAAGGAGCCTTGTGCCGCTCCACGATGCCCGATGGGATGCACACCCACCTCAAAAACGCTCCGGGCTTCTGGTGGGTTTGGGGGTTTGCGAATAGGACTTAAGGTTTTACCTGACCCCAGGACCCTAAACCCTAAACCCAAAAAGGACTGAGGAGATGAAGGGGGTTGGTAGCTGTAATCGGAACCCAGAACCCAAAAACGTATTCAAGTATAGTACTCCAAAACCCATACATATTCCCCATCTTCAACAACCATCAAGCCAGATCGAAGCATGAACAACTCCCAGTTCCCGGGCACATGAAGAAAACAAATCCGATAGGTGGATCCGGTGGCTGAGTTCCCGGCCGATCATCGCTGCCATGGATTGGTACGGCATAGCCTGGATGTCGAGGGTGTACACATCGTACACAGAATGGAAAAAAAAAACCTCACCGGTCAACCCCTCCACCCTAAACCCTAAACCCGAAACCCTAAACCCTGAAAACTGAACCTGAAACCCTGAACCCTGAACCCTAAACCCTAAACCCTAAACCCTAAACCCTAAACCCTAAACCCTAAACCCTAAACCCTGAAACCTAAACCCCAAACCCTAAACCCTGAACCCTACCCGGCGTATAAGGGAAAAGGAATGCTCCAGAGGGCTGCTCTGCCCGGCCTGCGCCATCAGCGGATGCAGATGCCTCGCGCTATAGGGTTCGAGCACAGGTCCCTCGTAGGGTTTAGGGTTTAGGGTTTAGGGTTTAGGGATTAGGGTTTAGGGTTTAGGGTTTAGGGTTTAGGGTTTAGGGTTTAGGGCTTAGGGTTTAGGGTTTAGTTCTTGTTTGTCTGAAATACGGTCCTGCTGGGGTCTCTGTGAAAAGACGGGTCGGCACGTTTAAGGTGCCCAACAGTCGTCGCCTTGGAAAGGCCTCAATGCAAGGTCTGGCGGTCCACATGTCGCAAGCAAGACGACAGAGAAAATCTCCCAATCGGCACGCTGCAGAGAAACTTCCGATAGTTGGATTGAATTATTGCTCCTTGAGGCAATCAGCGAAACAACTGGACCACAACCTAGAACTGGCCATTTCCTGCAGGCTGATGTGTTCTTACTGACGAAATCGACTAATTCCAGTGAGAGGTAGGATATGAGACGTAGGGTTAAGCTGAGAGGGGGCTTGGGTTTGAGACTATAGGGTCAGGGGCGGGCCCAGTTAAGCGATGGAGGGGGTCCTCAGGGGCCGCTGAGCTTCAGTTCATGAGGGCAAAGCAGGACTTAACTCACTCCCACGCATGTGTCCAGAGCCCTAGCCTTATACACGAAGTAAGCAAGCCTAGAGCCTCGACACGAAGTAAGCAAGCCTGGAACCTCGACGCCCTGAGCAACAAATGCCCGCGGCGCCTGACCCGCGTTCGATGCCGCTGAGGAGGTTGGGTCGGAGAGGACGTTCTGTGGCAGGAAGCGCTCCTCGCGCAAAGGAGGAAGACGTAAGGGCCAAGTCTTAGAGGGGTCTATAGGCTTTCAGGAATCCAGGCGTCCTCTATGCCTGGGGGCCCCAAAACCCGCAATCCTTTAACCAACACAACAGAACAAACGGCTTAAGATTCAGATTCAGGGTCTCAGGGTGAGGGTTCGGGTTTGGGGCTCCAAGCGCCTGCTGAGAGGCGTCCGAGAAAGTAGACCTGGAGATGAGATGAGGGCGGACTGCTAAGGAAAGCCATGGATGCAGTGACCATGGTATACATTTATATGTATATATATATATATATATATATGTATATATACATATACACATACACATACATATACATATACATATATACATATACATATATACATATACATATATACATATACATATATACATATACATATATACATATATACATATATACATATATACATATATACATATATACATATATACATATACATATACATATACATTTTTTAACAATGTGTATTACAATTTTGGTATTACTATTGATTATTTATATAATATGCACACACACACTGTTTTTGGTTTTGTGCGAGGGTTTCGGGGTTTAGGAAGGTTTAGGGTTCCGAGGGATGGTCTTGCTTGCTTGCCAGGGGATTAAGGCTCAGGAAGGTTTGCGATCTAGGCTTTAGGGTTTGGGGTTTAGGGTTCACACCACCTCAACTAAATCCTATAAATCCTGTGAATCCTAGTGTTGCTTTTTCCTCTCTGCCGTGGGATCCCTGGTTCATGCACTCACCCCCCCCCCCTCCCCCCGCCGAATTCCCCTGTCGAATCGAAACACGAAGAAAGCGTCTCAAGCCCTCCTTGCTAGCTAACCCTCAGCTTTAGGGTCGAAGGTCTGGGCTTTAGAGTTTGGGATTTAGGGCGAGTACCCCCCTTAAACGACTCGACCCCAGACCTGGACTAGCATCACTAAATGCGGACAAGCCCGAACCCTAAACCGCAAACACTACACACTCTGCAAACACTGCAAACCCTCTAAACCCTACAAAGCCCCACACATCCTGCAAACCCTGCAAAGCCTGGATCTTCGGGTCGTTACATGGTCCCTCAGTATGGCCCTTATATACCCTATACCAAGCCAAGGGCCCATACTTCAGAACCCATTTGAAGGAGGCCATGGCCCAGAGTCAGGGCATATAACTGCCCTTAGACTGTAAAACCCTACATAACCCTATAAGCGCAAACAAAAAACGCAAGCACTAAAACCTGGGACCCCATTTTGGCTGGAGACCTTGTGCTGCCAGCCGTGCCAATCCTCGGGATGTTTATGGTTTAGGGTTTGGGGTTTAGGGAAGCCCACAACCTGTTGGAAGAACTTTCGGAATTTAGGGCTACAGCGGGGGCAGACGGAGTGTTTTGGGTTTGGCGTCTCCGTTTTTCCGTTCGGAGGAGGGCCTTCAGGACCCTAAACACATGGCGGAGAGGGGCGGAGAGGCTTCTCGACCATAACCCAGGCCCTAAACCCCAAATCCATCTTCTTGAGCCAGGGAACCATTTGGGGGGTATGAAAACAGAGCCCCCAATGTGGATCCCCACAAGGTAGGATACCCTTATAATCAGGACCCCACAAAGGTACCCCTCATTTCGGAACCCCCTGACTCCAGTAGTCAAAACGAAACACCTAAACTCCAAAGCATGTTCGAGACGGCAGTTGGCTTTGAGGCGTTGCACATGCTTTACACCGACTGAAGAAAATGGTTGTCGCTTCCACTCCACGGGCGGAACCGAGCGGCACGTAGTTCTAACAGCCAAGATGCTGCACGGCTGCAACGAGAGGCCTGGCGTGAAGCAGCTTGAATTTGGCTGCGTGGCCAAGTCTTCTCATCAATCCAGCTAAACCCTAAACCCTACCCTGACCCCTAAACCCCTAAACCCTGGAACTAGCTTGTGCCCGTAGACGACGCATGATGTTGAGAGTCTTCAGGTTGCTTTTTGGGGCGGACGGCCAGGGGCATCCCGAAGCCCTACACAACCTGGACCTAGGCTGAACCTTGGATGTTCACCTTAGGCCTTAAAAAGGGGTTATAGTACCCACTATCATTATCCCAATTGAGGACTGCTAGTATAAAGGGAACATCCCAAAGTGACCCCCAAAAGCCCGAGAGAATGAATTGTAACAGGAGGCCCAGATCTTGGAGAGTCGGTGCGGCTTCCCCCCAACAAAAAGCGGTTCTGGCTGGCCTCTCTCCTTCTTGAATGTCTCCTTCTGATCCTCAAACAAGACCCCTAGACACGAAACTCCCGAAACCTCAATCCTAAATCCCAGCAAGCCCCATATTGCCAAAGCACTTGAAACCCCCAAAGCCTAAACCCATTTCTCCCTAAAGCCCGGAAAGCCTAAAACCCTGAGCCCCCAATACCCGAAACCCTAAAACACCCGAAAACCTAAAAACCAGCAACCCTACAACATCCGAAACCCTAAAACCCAGCAACCCCAAAAGCCTGAGCCCTAATCCCCGATGTAAGCAGGAAAGCCCCAAGAGCGAAACCCTATGTAAACCCCAAAGCCCTTTGGCCGGAACCCCTATGTCAGCCCTAGAAAGTCAGCCCGAAACCCTATGTATACCCCGAAACCCAATGCCCTAAACCCCGATGCAAGCCACCCCAAAGCCCCAAGAGCATGCCGGCTCGAGCCACGTTGGGCCGGTTGGGCTCATGACCTGAAAGCCAAGGAGCGGTACTGCAGATATCTCTGCTGAGGTCGGAATGCGAAAGCTTGATAGGGCTTCATGCGGGGTAGGGGTTTAACAGGGGTCTAAGAAGGCTTAATGGGGTTGAATAAGGTTTAATAGGGCTGAAATAGGGGTTTGCTCGGGTTTAATGGGGCATCATAGGTTTAAATAAGGGTAGGGCTTTCCCTAAACCCTAAACCCTAAAAACCTTAAACCCTAAACCCTAAGCCCTAAAGGGCTTTAAACGGGCGTGAAGGTTCTAAAGGGCATTCACAGCTTCATGTTCCCCCTATACTAACAGTCCTTTATAAAGATTGTTGTACCCCCGGTTTAGGGTTTAGGGTTTAGGTGTTTAGGGGTTCGGGTTTAGGGTTTAGGGCTTAGGGTTTAAGGACTGTTAGTAGGGGGACTAGACCCAAGAGTAAAGGAAGAGGGTGCCCTTTTTGGTTTTCAGGGGGGCTTAGAAGGGAACAAAAACAGGGAGTAAGGGCCTACTCCGGGTCCTACTTGCCCTAAACCCTAAACCCTAAACCCTAAACCCTAAACCCTAAACCCTAAACCCTAAACCCTAAACCCTAAACCCTAAACCCTAAACCCTAAGCCCTAAGCCCTAAGCCCTAAACCCTAAACTCCACTCCATTAGTATAAGGGGAACATCCCAAGCTTCAGGGGGTTTCTACGGGCCTTTGTTCGGGACTCGACTCCGGGATGTCCGATGGCGAAGGAGCTCCATGAGCTGAGTGGGAAGGTTCTTCTTCGGGTTGCGGGGTTTTGGGGTTTGGGGGTTTGGGGTTTAGGGTTTAGGGCTAGGGTTTAGGGCTTGGGGTTCTCCCTCAATCCCTGGGTGTTTCGTGGCCTTTGTCGGGCTTTTCAAATTGCGAGGGTTCGTGGCCGCGTCGCTGCTGAAGGTAAAGAACCTCTTCTGCATGCCCCAAGCCCGACACCCAAGCGTCACAACCCAAAAGCCCTGCAAAAAAGGTGAACTTGTAGGGTTTGGAGTTTAGGTTTAGGAATTAGACGCTGAAGATTCAAGTCACCTGCAAAAAACCGTGACTAAATTCACGCCGGGCGACGGCATTTCGGGCCAGCGGCACCCAAAATCCATGCCTTGGCAAAGCTGTGTTTCACAGTGCCGGGTTCAAGACTTACGGTGACACGTTTCGGGGGGTCCTAACGTATGGTCCTTTTTAATTGCAGGAGCCCCTTGTACGGAACCGATGGTAAAGCAAGCATCTAAGCTTTGCTTGGGTACTTACGTTCAAGGGGTTGACCTTGGGAAGAGCTTCTAGATATCTCCAGTGTACACAGTCAAGGACGAGGCTGCCCAGCAACCTGGGACTACGTAAAAAGGTTGCTTTGTTGCTTATGAAGGGGTTTAGACGTGAACCTACACCCCCAACAATTTAATAAGGGCACCACTGGGCATCCAAGAGGAGTAGTTCTTCTCCCGGGTTGAAAGCACTTGAACCCTAAACCCTAAACCCTGAACCGCGCTCTGAGGACGAGCTCCATGTAGGGCCTTCATCTAAACTGTGGGGGCCCTTGCTGACCATAGTGCTTCTCACAACGGACGCGGCACTCGTATCCCCAAACCCTAAACCCCCAAACCCCTAAACCCCTCAAGCCCCTAAAACCACTAAAACCCCTAAAGCCCCTAAAGCCCCTAAAACCCCTAAAGCCCCTCAGACCCCTAAAGCCCCCAAAGCTGGTACACACCCTCAACCCCAAGCCCGCTTAGCCGCTGTAGACCGGCAACGCGGACGAACAATAAACAAATGACTATGAGGACAACGCAGATCTCTGGTAGGTCTAGGGTTTAGGGCTTAGGGTTTAGGCTTTAGGGTTTAGGGTGTAGGCTTTAGGGTTTAGGGTGTAGGGTCTAGGGCTATATATTGTCAGACACATTCAGCACGCGGCATTCAGCGAACAAATAGGTTTTCTCAAGTACCCCTCAATGAGACGATATTGGCTTTTAGCAGCCACCTTCAATTACTCTTGAACCTCCAAGCAAAGTCCATGTTGGAGCCTTACCAGTGCAGTTCATTCTTTGGGGCACCGATCTTTCTTGCCGAAGTATACCACACCATAGAATTCCACTGGACCCAAGAGCAACCAAGGAGGCTTATAAGGGAACCTAAGCCCCGAAAAAGCCTACTCTGGGTCCTTGTACAGGAATGACAACTCACTTGGAGGTTCATGGTACTTATTAACATATTAGGGCACATAAGGGGCTCATAAGTGGCTTAGAAGTACAGTAAGAAATTGGTTAATATGTACCGTGAACCTCCAAGCAGGGGCAAGGCAGATTGACAGGAAGCGGCTGGATGGGCGTTCCGGAGCCCTGCGCAGGCGTGGCCGGGGTGCCCGTCCCCGGGGACACCTGCAAGAAAATAACTGGTCTCCTTACGAGTTGGGGGTTTAGGGTTTAGGGTTTCGGGTTTAGGGTTTAGGGCTCATCAGCCCGAAGTGTTGTGCTGTCCAAGCGTTCATGCCAGCACAACTAATACATCGGAAACAAACACACTCACAATGCAAAAGCGAGAGGAACTCTGTACCTAATACGTGAAGCGAGGAGAGATTCGCATGGAGAGTACACCAGAAGTGTGGGCTCAGGGACAGTGATATCTTGGAGTTGTAAGTACGTCGGATTTCTATAGTTGTAGCTGGTTCAAACAACTTTCGGGTTGTACTGTGACGTGACTTGTCACCTCCTAAGACTTTCAGCCACTGTACCCCACCCTATAAAGCCTCTAGCCTCCTAAGACTTTCAGCCGCTGTACCCCGCCCTATAAAGCCTATAAAGCTCTGAACCAGAATCTGCGGCATGCCTATCATATGACGATTGTCGGGTTCTTCTTTCGGAGTGGAGCTTGGATCTTTCGGGTACCGCTGAGAGGATAAGGGAGTGAGGGGGGTGTTCGGGTGTGCTCTGCACTACCAGAATACAGGCTGACGAGAGGTTAACTAGTGTTTGGTTCACTTCGAATCAAGCCCATGGCTAGTCAGAAAGTCTCCATGCTGACTGCTCGGGTACTGATTGCGACTGGATAGATGCCAGGTTGGCTCCCTAACTTCTGGTCCCTTTTGTCATTCCTGATTTGGAACTATACTACCCCTCTCCTGAAACTGCGGTGAGTTTTGAGAACTGCCACTGTGCCGGTACATTTAAACCCTAAACCCTAAACCCTAAACCCGTCGGGCCTGCCCAGAGCCACACCCCTTGGCGATCGGCTGACTTCGGGCGGTTCAGGATTGTAAATGCCGTAAACCCTGAAACCCGAACAGCCCTACCTAAACCCTTATAAACCCTAAACCCTTATCAACCCTTATAAACCCTACTAAACCCTTACAAACCCTAAAGCTCCCTAAACGCTGAATCCTGAAAGACCTCCAGTCACCAGGTCCTGGGGTTTATTTGAGGGCCTTTAAGTGCCCGCAGGAATAGAAACGATCTTACAGGGCATACTGGGCTGCTTCTGATTTTATAGGGAACCTATACATTGAATGTACAAGCACTTGTCTTGAGATGGCCTGGCAAGCTGACCTGTGCACCAAGTGTATCCTGCAACCTCGGGACAAAAGGTCCTAGTCCGAAACCCCGAACGCAACGTGCAAGCAAGAGAGTATCTGGGCCGAAAGCCGCGGACATAGTCGCACCCCTGAAGCAATGCAGGGGGTTTTGGGGGTGGTTTGGTTCCATGGTGGTGTGTGTGTGTGCTCGATGGTGTGTTCGATGGTGTGTTCCTGCATGTTACTTCTACCCGCCACTGCTATTGCCCCACCCGCATTGTCTGACAGACGCAGCTGGTGCTGTGGCGGCGTGGATATTTTGAGCTCGTAAACACACACGTGAATCACAGGCGTGAATTTGGGGTGGAGGGTTCAGGGCTTCCAGGATTCAGGGTTGCCTCAGCAAGGCCCACGCAGGGCTCAATCAAGTTTTTGTTGCTGTTGTTTTGGAGCAGGCGACGTGGCCTGAAATGCCAAACATGCAACTGTCACGTAGCCCGAAAACGTCGACCCTTAATGTTTGACCAGCTTCGGGGCACAACCCCCCCCCTCCCAACCCCAGAACAGTCGAAGCTGGTGCTGGCTCTCTTTAAACGGTCCACGGGGTTTATATGATTTGAAAAGGGAGGAGTTGAGATGAGTTAAGACGAGAAAGTCAAAAAGGGACAGAGAGGCCCGGCAATTGATTTTAAAGGCGTGCCGCACGAAATGTTCTCACGACACCCGGACGATTTGCCTTGATTGCGGATCCAAACAGTCCCTTAGTAGCCCAGTAACCATACTATACTAAGGGCACCCTTTTTGGGGTTGGTTACTTTATAAGGAACCTTGAGCCCAAAAAAAAGGGAAAAGGGTACCACTGGGCTACCAAGGTCCTACGTTCCGGAATAGCCCGGCCAACTTGACTGTAAAGAGAGGGCCCCCACTAAAGCAGGTCCAACAGTAGTCCTCACGCAGCCCTTTCTCCAAAACGGCAACCGCTAAAAGCCCTAAGCTTGAAACTTAAAAACCCAAACTTGAGATGTTCCCCCTCATACGAGCAGTCCTTAATAGGGACTCTGGTGCCCCCGGATTTTAATCCTTATGAAGGACTGTTAGTATACGGGGGAACAACCCTAAACCCTAAACCCCAAGCCCTAAGCCCTAAGCCCGAAGCCCGAAGCCCTAAACCCTGCCTGAACCCTAAACCCTAAACCCTAAACCCTACACCCTAAACCCTAAACCCTAAACCCTACACCCTAAACCCTAAACCCTAACCCTAAACCCTAACCCTAAACCCTAAACCCTAAACCCTAAACCCTAAACCCTAAACCCTAAACCCTAACCCGAACCCTAAACAAAGACGCCTCGCCGCGCCGGAGTTCGGCGAGCCACAGCTGGGTGATGCGGCCATGACGGGGACAGGGACCTGGGCCACTGGGAGGTTTTCTAGCGGTTTGGGGTTTTTAGGGTTTAGGGTTTAGGGTGGGGTTTCTAGGCTTTGGGGGGGGGGGGGGTAGGGAGGGTTCTGGTTAAGGGAGGAATTTGAGGTCCAAAGCCGTAAACCCTAAACTCGAATCCCGCAATCTGAAGGCCCAATGAACCCTTGCAGTCCTAAACCCCCAAAACGCTTGCGCTCCTAAGGCACATCGGACTATGTTTGTCCGAAACACTAACCCTACTTAGGGTTTAGGGTTTCCGGAGCCCTGACCCAAAAGCCTCAACACTTAAACTCCTGTAGTTCCACGTACTTCCCACAAAACCTTCAACCCCAAACCATAAACCATAAGACCATATAGCCTTATCAACCGTAAACCGTAAAACGTGAAACCACAAAACCCCAAAACCCCAAGCCCTAAACCACAAGAACCTAACACCCCCACACCCTAAAGCCCCAAACCCAAACCCTAAACCCTAAACTCTAAACTCTGAACCCGCCCTAAACCCAAACCCTAAACCCTAAACCCTAAACCCCCAAACCCTTAAACCTAAACCCTAAACCCTAAAACCCTAAGCCTTCAAACCCTAAAACCCTAAGCCTTTCAACCCTCATTCGTCTCCAGGGGGCCCAGATCGGCACGGAGGAGGTGCCCTGCGCCTAGGGAGGTTGGGATGTTCCCCTTTCTACTAACAGCCCTCAAAAAAAGTTATAATACCCCCTATTGCAATCCCGATGAAGGTCTGTTTGTTAAGCTTTAGGGTTTCAGGGTGGCAGCTTAGTCATGTCGACGCCTTGTTGGCCTCAGTTTGTATTTGTCTGCCTTGTCCCCTCTCTCTCTCTCTCTTTTTGAAGCCCTAAGCCTCCTGAAGCCCCAAAATTCCTAAAGCCGAGTGCGCAACTTCATTCTAACTGCAAGGTGCCACAATAAACCTTAAACCCTGTTCCCTAAACCCAAACCCCCAACAACCCGAAACCCTACACCCTCGTGCTCACGGGCTTCGTTCAGGGGCTTAGGGTCTTAGGGGGTTTAGGGTTTAGGGTTAAGGGTTTAGGGTCAGGAGCTTGGAACACAAGGTCTGAGGAAAGCTTGACATTTTGGGATGGGCTAGCTCCAATCTCCCTTTCAGGGATTGAAGGAAAGCCGGTTCTTGAACCCAGCTTGCCATCCTACAGTCCTTGGGTTTGGGGTTTAGGGTTTAGGGTTTAGGGTTTGGGGTTTAGGGTTTAAGGTTTAGGGCTTAGGGTTCGGGGCTTTTTCATTTACAAGGCCTCAAAATCAGCAAAGACTCTTCGCTCTTGAGGG